TTTTTGGACTGTTGAGAGAAGCCATAGAACCCGGAGGGAACTCATGCCTGTACAGGAGAAGAAGCAGAAAGACCCCGGGTCCATATCTAGACCCAGGGACTTCTTACTGCAAACAGTGTTACTAACTGTTCCATTGTGCAACCCCATAATATTTTATGCATATATAAACATTTCACACAGATCTGACAATAGCTTAGTCTCCCTCTCTGAATGTGTTCTCTGTTGACCTTTTAAAGCACATGATCAACACATTTAGCGTTTTTCAATGTTTACATCCTTGCACCCATAATAAACAGCTCATTAGAGAAGTTCCTCATCCTGAAAGAACAAGGTAGGTGTTTTAGTTTCAGGATGAATCCTCTGGACTCTGTAGTTTACTTTGAGCTTCCAGAATCAGAGACTTAATGTTTCCATCTGTTATCTCCAGCTGGGTCTGCTGGCTTTGGTCGACTCTTTGGACTGGGTTGACTTGTCAGAGAGACTCCCACTGTCTTTTCGTCTGTGGCCTTTAGAGGGCGCCAGGGAGCCGTGTCGGGGAGATGGAGCAGGTGATCTGTTGCTGTGAGACCTCCTTAAAGAGGACGAGGAGGACACGTTGGGATCCTTTGATCTGGAAGAGGCTGTTTTGGTAAAAGGGGATGAAGAAGCAGCCGAGGGAGCGGAGGAAGTGTTGGGGGTGGCTTTAGGGGAACTACTGTTGGAGGAATGAGAAGCCCCCAGAGGAGGTTTTGTCCTTCTGAAAGAAGAGGATGCTGTGCTTCGGGTAAAACCAGGAAGCACTGACGATGAAGGGGATCTTGATTTGTGCAAAGGCGTGACAGGAGCGCTGACACTGCCCCTATTTCCAGCCTGATTGAGCGCCCGGAGCTTGGAGAGACACATTTTCTCCTCTGTTTGAGTTTTGGGTTTCGTTAAGGGTTTCCGGACAGGCGGCCTCCCCTGTGAGTCCTGGTTCTGCTCTCTCAGTTCTTTGGACTCTGGTGTCTTAGTGGTGCTCGGACGCTGGGTTGACGGAGCAGTTCTGGGCCTCTCTCCTCGACGGGTGGATGAGCTGTTGAGGGTGGAGATGTTTGGACCAGAGTGTGCTGCGGTTCTGGAGGACCCCCGCGTGTAAGCTCCTGGCTTTTCATCCTTTCTGTCTCTGGATGAAGAACCGGGGTTCATCCTTGTAATGGGAACAACTCGTCTCATGCTCTGGTCCTCAGAGCTGGTGAGAGTACGGACAGATCTCCCACCTGTAGAGGTTGTGTTTGATGGTTTCATCCCAGTGCTTCCAGAGTTGGAATTCGGCAACTTCTTGGTGGAGACTTTGGCTGAGTTTGCTCTTTTTGTTTTACCACCAGTGGAAGAATCTTCTGCTGTCTTTTGCTTCAAGGTCCTTCTGTTTGTGCTTCTATTATCAGATTTTTTCTCTGAGCAAGGTACCACATTAGTTGATTTCTCCTCCTCTGTCTCTGGATTGTCTGTTTTCTGATCTTTCGCCGGTGCCTCTGCAGTAGGAGAACCTGGACTGGCTGACACCAGGCCATCAAAGGTTGATGCAGGGTCCCCACTGGCTGGGGAAGCCTTTGTTGCCTGTGGTTCTGGTTCGGCTGATGCAGGTTTTACAGGATGCAATCCAGGGGAAGAATCAGGGTTGTTGAAGTGGGAGACGGGCTGGCTGCTGATTGGGACCGACTCTGTGCCTTTACAGTCCAGCTGAGCGTCTGAACACTCCTGATTGGCCGTTATCAAGGACGTTTGTTGGTTTTCACCATTCAGTCCCTCTCCATCGGTGTCCGGTTGTGCATTTTCACCAGTTGCTTCACACACACCAGTCACACACCAGACGATCACCTTGGCTTCTTGCTCCTCTGTCTTCTCTTTTGGTGCTCTTGAAGATTTCTTCTCGTCATTTTGCAGTTTGTCTACCCCCTCTTCTTCCAGGCGTGTAGTCATGGTGCGATGGTCGGTACAGTGGTCTTCATCGCGGCCCGTCTGGGTGGTGGTACTGTCAAACACTTTTAGCTCAGGTACCAGGGTACATTTCTCCAAAACCACAGACATGTTTCCTTTAGCAGCACCGCTGCTCTGTCCGCTGGAAATCTGATCATCACTTTTAATCCTCCAACCAGTCTCCTGACCCTTAAAACCAGGAAAAGGTTGGCTTCTCCCGTTGTCATGGAGCTCAGATTCCTGTTTTGAATCAGAGGTAGATTTGATAGGAATTTCCTCTTTGTTCATTTCTGTCTTACTATCTAAGCTCAGGTAAATTATGTCCGTATCGTTGGTGTTTTCTTCGTTCCTGCTAGAGGGGATTGCTAAGTGCGTTGGCGAGACAGTCAATACTTTAGAAGGAGAGAGTCCTAAACTCCGAAGCTCGTGTTTAGAGGAGGCTGATGGGGAGGTTTTCCTCGTGTCCTCCTTGCCTCTCTGCCGAGGAACTCTGAGGTCGTTGGACTTCTCCAACAGTGCGCTCAGGTCTCGCTCTGCAGCCAGAGACGGTGAGCTGGAAGGAGACCTACGGCTTCGCTGGAAGTTCCCCGAGCGTCCCCGACTGATGTGGTTGGTATTCAGAGAGGAGCGGGACCTTGTCAGGAGGTCGAGCAGAAGTCCAGCCTCATCCCTGGTCGCTGCAGCTGACATGTCTGTCTCACTGCGGCAGCGTGAGCCGAAGGCTCCAGATACCTAAAATCGGACCATAGCAGCAGTTTACGATCAGACCAGGACTCTTCGGACTTTGCTTTAAAGAGTAATGTCTGTGTTTCCACATACCTCCTCTCCTCCAGACCAAGAGTGTCGCTTCAGCTCCTCCTCGCGCATTCGCTGACGACAAGCTGCTTCTTTTGCCTCCCTCTCTTTGTTTTCCTTCAAGAACAAACAAAAAAATGAAAAATCAAACCAACTCCTCTATTTAAAACTTACTTACTGCAAGTGATGCTATAAAATAAAAAAATGTCTGATCTAAAATCAACACAATGAGAGGTAATAAAATAAAATTAGTCTTGCATCTCTTTTTGAAATAGTGATTTCAACATTTAATAAAGTTTAAGTCTGAGCGGGGTTTTGACCAAACCTTGACAGCGTTTGTGAATTTGGTGCAGAAGGTGTGGAAGATGCTGAAACAGTCGTCCAGCCTGAAGGTGTCCCTGTCCTCACAGAAGAAGTCCACCAGCTCTCTGCCTTCCTTCTTCAGCTGCTGCTGGCTGCCGCGCAGCGAACACAGGGACATCGTGGCGCTCTGTGACACGGCCGGACGGCGGGAGCTCGTTAATCTCATGCTTTTTTTTAAGCTTTAACTTTTTCATCTTTAATAAATCTTTTTTTTCATCTTCTTTTAAATGAAGACAATACTTCAAGTCATAGCTAAGAGTAGATTTAAACATATTTTCTCCCACCACACTTCTCTCCGTATTTTTCCACTTTTTTGTTACCTTCTAACAAATGAAGTGACTTTTTTTATATTGCTTAGAATTTCATTGACTAATGAAAGATAAATTATCTAAATGTGAACTTACACATGAGACTGTTAGAGAAATTCCATGTAAATGTTTCAGACAGTTTTACCTTCATTCTGGGTTGCTGATAAATGAATCATCAGGAAGTCTAAAATGTGTCTATGAGTAAATGTTACCTGCAGGAAGCTGTCCAGCTGCTGCAGCAGCTCTGTTTCCTTCTGGATGCTCTCCTCTACTGAGCGCGTGCGAGACGTCAGCAGCTGCAGTTCAGCTTCCAGCGTTTCCAAAGAGATCCTGATGAAAAAATATTCATTTATTCTATTTAAACTTAAATATTTGAGTCTCGTTCAAAGGCTGGTGCTGGATTCAGCTTTGGGAGGGAAATATCTTTACCAACCAAAGTCAACAGGAGGCGCTGTTTCGCAAGTTATAAGAAATTTCTCATATTTCTGATAGATATTGTCCATTTATCCGACATGATGAGTTGTTCCCCAGGTGGGCATTATTTTAAAGCTTAATTTGTTGATCTGTGGTGTTTACTGTATGAAGATAAAGTCGTGTCTCACCTGGATGCAGCCTGGATGTTGGGAAGTTTCAGGGGAAACTCCAGCAGATGTTTGTCTTTTTTCTGAGCTTCCTGAGGTAAAAAAACAAAAAACAAAAACATAAATAATTTCAATTAAAGATGCATTCTGAAGTTCAGCTACAGTAGAATAATCCAAACAGATTTAAATATATTTAACTTCAGGTAAATAAAGGTTTCAATAAAGTATCAGACGAGGTGTTTAGAAGTAGAATATAAGGGAGTTTTATAAATCTGAGCTGTGCTCAGGCTTCAGAGGTTAAATCTAGAAATGATTTCCATTGCTTCAGGCTCTTTTAGCAGCTAGTAAGAAAGTGATGACAAGGAGGTGGAGTCCAACTGCTAAGCCAGAACAGGATTGGTTCCCACTTACTTTGGAGATTTGGTTAACATCTATAAAGGTAAACTTTATGGAATATAGTTAAATGGATCAGATACATATCTGTGATTGATTTAAATAAAAAGATGCTGCTGCGCTTTCTCTTATGTTTTTTTTTTCAGTCTCTCCATTAGGCTTGATTAACTGAGTATGTTTCAGGTGTTCGTTCTTGTTTTGTAGGGGCCAATTATTTTTTGTTAATAGTTAAAAATGTTTTTTGTTTTCGTGCATAATCTAGCTAAGTTTATTTTACTTAATTGTTTGATATCTGTTATGCGATTATGTTTTTTGGTTATTTAGTCATGTTCCTTTGTTTTTGGTTAGTTATGATTAATTTTGGTGAATTATTTTTTTTATAAATAGGCTGTCAATAGAAGGACCAGCATGCATCTGGGTGGGCGTATGGTTTTTTTTTACCAGCGCAAGAGAAACATGGAGGAAATGTTTGTCTTTTTTTGTTTGCTTGCCTGAGGAGAAAATAAACTAGACAAATAAAAAAAATTTTTTTCTTTTGCCTGCGTAAAATTAATCTATTGTGCACACTATTCCCAGGATCAACACAGATCTTGGCAAAACATCATTTTCCTATGCGGCACCATGGTCGTGGCACAATATTCAAAACTCCCTGCAATTACGTACTCTTATTCCGCTACAGCATTTTAAATCACTATTGAAAACCGCTTGCACAGAGAATTGTAACTGTTATTCTAGAGCCTAGTTTATGATTGATTTTATTATGTTGTACTGTGATCTTATATGTCTTACTGTACTGCTGCCTCTTGGCCAGGTCTCCCTCGAAAAAGAGATTTTATCTCAAGGTACTTAATGGTAAAATAAAGGTTAAATAAAAATAAAATAAATAAAATCTGTGGCCTTTGTGGATTTTCACTTTTTTTGTGTCATCAAAGCTGCGCCACAGCATGTTTGTTTTCCTTTCTTGCTGTTATTTTTTTTTTTTTTTACATCTTTCAAGGTTTTTCTTTTGTGCTTTAAGTTCTTGAAAAACGTAAATGGAAAAAGGAAAACTTAATGTAACTGCTTGATCATTCTAATGTTTCTTAAAAGGGTTTTTTTATAAAAAAAAAAAAAAAAAGAAAAAGCTTTAACTTCGCTTAAACTGAAGCCAGAAGGAAACATGAGGCAGTAATTAACACAATTTTTTTTTTTGTTTTGCAAAAATCCACCGATCAAGCATTTAAATAAAGGCACAAAAAAAATACAGAAGGTGAAAAGTTCAACAATAAAGACAAGGTGTAGAATTTTGTCCCAAAATCAATCCTCACAAACAGATCCAGGTTACTGACCAGAGCCACAAAGTGCAGCAGGTTCATCCCCGGTTTGTTGGACTTGGTGTCTGCAAGAGACAGAAGGGAGGACAGCTTAAAGCCCACAGCGTCTCCTGCAGAACCTCCCTGCAGAACAAAAACACATGGCAGTTAGTAACATGACGACGCAATGAAGCCAAAAATATGTACAAACAGAAGAACAGCAAAGGATCCCCTCAGCATAATGCTGCCATCGCCTTGTTCTACTGTCAGGATGGTTATCTTATCTTCTCTCATGACTTCTCCCATGTAGGCCACAAACTTCAATTTCAATGTTTTAATTATTTCAACTTTCAGATGAGGGACTGAACAGAGCACCGGGAGACGCACAAATCTTATATCGTTTTGAAACCTGCTTTAAATTTCGTTTCCTGAACAGTAATGTTCTTATAAAAAACATCTGAGTCCAAATCCAGAACAGCTGAATGTACGCTGGACTAAATCATGTGACTCTGGATGGAAACAGGCTGAACAGGGTTTTATTTGGGGTTATTAGAGTACAGGGGTCTGGATAAAGGTGAATGCTACACATTTCAGATTTTTATTTATAGATTTAAATACATTAAATTCAGGTTTTTTTATTCCTAAGTAACAATAGAGAAAACTCTTATTTTTATTTCTTATATATTGTTGTTTTTGTTCCATCACTGTCTATTTCCGTCCTGTATTGTTGCATTATATTAACATGCTGTCTATTGATTTTAGTCTTGTAATGTACGATAAACAGTGGCGCCTCCTGAAATATTTCATAGGGGGGGGCAGATGGGGCCACTAAAAACCTTGTGGTGGCACACTGAGACTAAAAGCCATAATTTCAGGGTTTGAATCTGCTATTGTGGTAAACCTACCTGTAGAAATCATAAAGACTTCAATAAAAACCTACTCATACTTTGGTTTATTGTGTGATTTTTAATGTTACGTTGCTGGCTGTGCATAATGGGAGGGTTTATACTGGTAAGTGGGGTGGCACAGGGTAGCGGTGGCCACCCCCCCATAAATGAAAGCCGGGTCAGAACAATCAGCTGTTCTGGACCAGAGGAGGCCTGAAGGTTCAGATTATAAACATGCTGTTTTAAAGGAGCCTCATATGAAATGAAAGCTTTCTGCTGCTGTCATCAGGGTTTCTGTGTAATTTGCCTGTGAAAGGGGAAGTTTCCAGTTTGACAATGTGAACAATAACGGATAATTATACAGTTTTAGTCTAGCTCTCCCTGATGATGCTTCAAATAAGTGAACATCTGTTCCTCTTATTTTTTTTTATTTTCAGACCAGCAGGCCGCCCTCCATCTCGAGCTGCAGGGAGCTCTCAGCGGTCGACCTTGATGATCGCTGCACCGTATGCAGCCGGAAACAAACCGGAATCAAGTTCTCAACTGGTTTTAAATTCAATTAAACAGGTTAAGACTACAACGCTTATCTTTCCCCCCCTTGTTTCAGCTATTGTTTCCTCTCAGATTAAATATGAATTGTTGCTGATTCCCCACTCACAGCGTTGAGGATGTTTCCGGCCTGCAGCACCAAGTGCAGAACAGCGTGGAGCTCCTTACAGCACATTAATTCTAGATGAGAAAAAAAACACAAAGGAGGGGAGGAAACGTGTCATTAGAGAAGAGAAAGAGAGTTTCTGAGGGTGGGATGTGTTAAGAGCGTAAGCATATGGAGGGTTAGTTAGAGAATTCACACACACACTGCTAAAAATAATCAATGTGTTAGTTTTTATTGTGTGAAGAGACGAGGCTGACGTCTCCTTCTGCACATCTGCACTGAATCTGAAGAGGCTTCAGCATAGCTCTGGTTTTTATAGAAGGTTTTCTTTAAATGTCGGCTGCTTTTTTAAAACTACATCGAGCAACATTTTCTTTTTGTGTTTTATAAACCTCCATTCATAAAAACCTCCAAGATGTTTCAAATGGGTCAAATATAATAATATTTTTCATGACAAAGAAAAAGGATTATATTTTTTTTGATTTTCTGCTTTTTTTTTTTTTTCTTATGTTTTGCGTTTGGAAAAAGGAAAAGTAAAGAATAAACATAAGTTGATCAAAAATGTTGAAAAGAATAATGTGAGACCAAGAGCACAAACACAAATAAAAAGCAGAGTTGTATCTTTTCCATAGTTTATTATGCCGTATAAAATGTTTGTTACCTTTGGCAGCAGAGCGAAGAGTTTTTAAATCTTGTTTCATGGCCTCACAGGCACCAGGGAACTCTTCCTTTAACAGCATGGACTCAATGCGGACAGAGTAACTAGAGAGAAATGCAGACTTTAAATCAATGATGGGGGCAGGAAGGTTTTCCTGTGGAGCAGCTCAGGATTCCAGTGCACAATAAACCTGCTTTACATATGCATATATAGAGATATCAATATCTATATTGATACACTTTACAGTTTGTAAAACAGGACACCTGCAGAGGATGTAATATTTGGTAGGACATTATGACGTCGTCTGGTTCAGGTTAAAGTCAAGTTAAATCATGGAGAACAGCAGGAGTCAGGAGAATTTTGTTTAGTTTGAGTTCTTTTAAAGTCGTAGGGAAGCGCCTGTTCCACCGGCTGCAGTTCCGAATTCTGCACGACTTTACATGAGTGATTAAAGTGAATGTGATTGGTTGATTATCAAGGGGGCGGGATTGTTTTGGCTGGTTTCTCGGAAGCATCTTGTTAACCAGTTAGCAATTTAGTGCTAGTAGGGTCTCAATGGGAAATTACATCGTGACCAAGTAGCACCAAATTGGTAGTCTGGGTGCCATTCCGAACTTAGTCCCGCCCACAACGTTTGAGGTCGGGAAGTTCGGTCTGGCATTGCTCAATAGTAGCGCGAGTATGCTAGCACAATATCTGGCGGGCCAATCAAATTGTCAGGGCGGGCTTTATACGATGATGGACAGATGATCAACAGTAACTTAATCGACGTCGTCACCAAAGCTCGCTTGGTTCTCAACAACGTTGTCTGCCTCCTAATAGTT